TCTTCTCATTTTTCCCCTCCCCCATCTCCCACCGTCTAACATGGCGGTCTAACATGGCGGTCTAAAAAGGCGGTCGCAAGGTTGTAACGCTAACTCGCCCCAATAAGACGCCTGCACTACAGGCTATTTTCAAACTAACTCCTGTTGGTAAAACTTGATTTCTGCAATATTCAGTGTCTTTAAACCAAGATTCTTGGTGGAAAGCTTTAAATAAAGTACATTTTGTATGAGCAAAATCAAAGAGTATCAAAGTTTTTGTGCCTTTTGAATTGGGTGTGTTTTGTGCACCCTGGTTTTGTTTGATGTAAGTCTCAAATTGTGATTATTTTAGTGTTAAGTCAGGTCTGAAATTGGAGATGGAAATTCACACATTTTGTCAAAAATAGCTTAAGGGTTTCAATAAAAAAGCAGCTCTACCCCAAAATATTGCAGAGAGTGCCCTTTCCCCCAATCCCTAGAACTGAAATATTTGCAAAAAGGTGTCACTGGTGAAGACAGTTTTAAGGAATATAGTTGTGTGGGAAATTTGAAGTCACATGTTCACGGTGAAACTGTATAATAATTATAAGTCCAATAAAATTTTACAGATGACAACTGGCAATGACAATAATAAATTGTTGTTACTCATGTCTGCCTTAAAAGGCCAAATGGTTAAGTTCTTTCTTTGTTTTTTCTTAGCCATTGAAGAAGTAAATGACATGCTCAGTTCCAATGCAGGATATCGCGAGGTGCGTGCTATGGGCTGGCTTAGTGAGCAAGTTCATCTTGGCGGGGACAGTTCTCATACGGAATGGAAACCGGTGTTTGTTGCTTTGACAGAAAAAGACATGTTGCTGTATGTGGCAGCACCTTGGTCACGGGATGATTGGAGTGCTCCAGTAATGAGCCATCCACTGTTAGCAACAAGGTGGGCAATGTTGTTAGGGCCGTAGCTAGTAACAGGCAAACCGAAGCACTTGCGCCAGTCATTTTTTTTTTTTTGCCTGATCTCAGTGTTTGGTTGAAATGTAGAAATGAAGTCATTATAAACACCCTAAATACCAATGAAGACCATTTTTAAACCATAGACATTTCCTCAGTCATATTTTTTTTCCTGGTTTTAACTATGTATGTTACTGCAGTCACATGTATTTTTTTTTTCTGGATTTAACTGTGTACATGGCCTCAGTAAGAGTTTTTTGGCTATGGCCCTGGTTATAGGGACAAATAGTAAGAGTTGGTAACAGTGCAACCTTCATAAGTTCCAAACAATTTAGTAATTGAGACACTTTGTGAAAATGGCACTTCATAATGTTTAACCCCTAGTAGTATTTCGAATACATCTAGTGACAATTCTCTGCTACCCCAACCCTCCAATTTAATGTTGTGCAGGTTCTTTGGTCTGCAGAGTCTTGAAAAAACCAACATTATTTGGGGGGAGGGGGAAAAATGTTTGTTGGATGATCAAAAATAGAATTCTACCAAGAAGTGTCTCAACACATTTACATGTATCAGCCATTGTGTGTCCAATAACTGAAATTAAAATGTGTTAATGTGTTCTGCCTTTAAGGGCAAGAGAATACCTTGTTGTACCCAGTGTTCTCTGTAAGCACTGGTGATGGGCGAAAATTGCTGTCCACTAGTTCTGAAAGGGCTGACTACTCTCGATACAAATATGAATTTTTGAGATTAAAAAATGCAAATGTGAAGCTTAAAGTTTTACAAGTTTTCAGTACCTTATCATTACCTCTCTGGGCTAAAAGTCGTTTGAAATTCAGCTGAAAACTTGGAAACTAAGCAAAAATCATGAACAAGCCTACTACAAAACATTCTCTGTCTCCTTCCAATTTTTGGGAGAATCCTGTGTATCTATTTCTTTTTTTTGTATGTGTGTTGTGTGTGTTAATACCATTTGCTTTGAGAAGGCATCATTATTACATGACTTAGAAAGTTGAGAAGGGCAATACTAAAGGCATACTCAGACCTGTTAAGATATGCCAACCACAGGGCATTTTTTTTTACCTACGTTCCTCTTATTAACCAAGTTTGAGGTCTATACTGTAAGTTATGGATCAAGATTTTTCTCTTCCCCTTACATTCTTGCACTTGGTTTATGAAATATGTTTATTGTTAAAATTATTTTACTCAGCAAATAGGTTCAGAGAAGTTTGAAATCAACCAACACTTAAAAATAAATTCTCATCCCCTTGTTGTAAAGAATAACTACTCTTGTTTCTCTCATGATTTTACAGACTTGTTCATTCAGGACATGGTACTAACCACCTCCAGAATGACGATTTGACATTTGGAACACGCACTGGAACAAGGAAAGGAGTTGAGGCACATATGTTCAGAGTGGAAACTCCAAGAGAATTAGCTAACTGGTCACGCAGCCTGGTGCAGGGAGCCCATGATGCAGCAACACTAATCAAAGAAATTAACTGTGGTAAGTTTAAAATGAGTCTGTTGAAGGACAAGGGATCTGGGAAGCTTGACAGCTCAGTTTCTGAAATCAGCTGGAGTGCACTTTCTGAAAGTCAATCAAAACTGGTTAGAAAAATTTGAAACCCCAAACCAAAGGCACATTTTGTACATGTATGTTCAAAATTGTTTATGGATGATGTAAGTTTTTTTGTTTTTGTTTTGTTTTGTTTTTCATTTAAGAAAAGACAGCTACCTGTATGTAGATGCAAATACGTACAATACAGTACATAGAACGTAATGTAGTTCTTTAATTTCCTCTCAAACCTACACTTTGATAAAGACCAGAGCAGGTCATTCTACCACCAAGATGGCAAGCAATGCTAGTTTAGAATCACAATGAAATAGAAACAGGCTTTATTTGTTTTAAAAACTTTAACTGTACACTGTATTTGTGACAACCTTTTTCTCAAAGCTCTCTCATGGTCCCTTCTTAAATTGCATATCTATTGGTTAGTGCCGCAATGGTAGACCAATGCAGTGGTGAATCGCAATATTTTATGTCATGATACGAATATCGATATTATGACAAGATATCATGATATTATGATTTTGTGATTCTTCATGAATAAAAAATTCAACATTCAGAAACAACTGTCTTTTATGCTCCTTACCTAAGTCCTTTCAGAGCTATTTATTAAACTAAGGGACCTGGGAAAGGGAAAAAAAGTTCCATCTTTTCTTTGTATTGCTTTGTGTGCTTCCGGTCACGTATCTGTCAACATGGTGGCACAAAAGCATGCACAGTTCCAATTAGCTGTCAGCTGACACAGTCTTGTTTGGCCACGGACAAAACACATGGTTCATCTGTTCCTCGCAGCTCTTCTTTGCCTGTCAGTTATATGTAATGACGTATCGTATCATGTATCATATGGTGACACTTGTATCGAGATATGTATCGTATCATGAGAAATTGTATCATTGCAGCCCTTCTATTGTGTAATACTCTGATCAAATGTAGCAAGTGTGATATAGTTCGTATGTTTTATGCAAGCAGTTAAACTATTTTACATTGAGCTATAAAATAATCATGAATTTGTTTTCCTCTACAGCTGTGACGTGGAGAGACCAAGATGCACGTTTAACTGTACACTTTGAAAATGGATTCACTCTTACAGATGCACGTGGGAATGAAGGCAATGGACGTGCTCAGGTCTTATGGTATTTTCCATTTGAAAAGTTGAAGCGTTCAGCAGATGATGGGCAAAGAAGATTATGGCTGGAATTTGGGGCAGATGAGTCTGATCAGGTAATAAATTTATGAAGACAAAACATTCATTCTGTAAGGTATTATGAATCTTCCTTATCTTGATTCTTTCAGACTTTCTTGCTGACTTCGAGTGTGCACATGATGAAAAATGTATATAATGGTGATAGAAGTCGACCTTAGACTTTTTATCATCTGGCCCTTGTGGCTTTCTTGTATTAGTGAATGCTATATGGGTCAAAATAAGGAAAAATGCCTTGTTTATGATTCATTAATTGCTTTGTGAATTGCTCATTACAGGTTTGGGGTAGAAAATGGACATTGAATACGCATTTTCGATATATTAAAATTCTGACATAGCTTCAAGGCTTGGGGGAATAGAACAAAAGAAATTCATTATTCATCACTCAACCCCAATATGATTTCTTTTGTTTTATTCCCCCAAACCTTGGAACCAAGTTAGAATTTTAATATATCAAAAATGGTCTATTTGTGATGTGCAGTGTTCGATTTGTATCTTTTTAAAAAAGGGTGCAATAAAATTCCTAATTATTTTTTACAGTGTGACAACTTGAACTGGCCCAGCTAAAAGGAAGCTAACCATTTAGCCTGGTGCCATGCGTGGCATGGGTTGAGTTTGTTGTTGATTCTGACCTTACTCCGAGGGTTTTTCCCTTGGTACTGCAGTTTTCCTCCCTCCACAAAAACCAAGGACCTGCATGAAAACCAGCTGACACTGGTGTGGCTTCCTCTAAAAAAGTTTTTTGATATTTTTAATCTTGGAAAGTAGGAGAGAGAACTTTAATAATCAACTGAGATGCTGTCCCCTATTTTAATCTCCTCAGGAGTTGGATTTAGAACTGGATCTTCATGGCTGTCCTAAGCCTGTGGTGTTTGTTATGCATACCTTCCTCTCAGCAAAGACAACTCGGCTTGGGCTGTTTGCTTGAGTAATGTGGTGAGGTTACAAACTGTGATTTCTCATCTTGATACTTCCTCCTCTCATGTAATGACAATAGTACTAAGAGGACTTTTAGCTACAAACAACTCATTAAATGTAATTATTGTTTTGTGTAAAAGTCATTTCTAGTTTAGTTTGCAGCTGTTTTGTGAGGCAATGCCATTAAGTGCAAGTGCCATTTTTCATCTGAATGAAATTATATAATTAAGTGCCAACTAGTTTTAAGCTGTACATGTATGTATTTGTAGATTGACATTTTTTTTTGTAGACATTAAGAAATACTTCTAATGTAACTATTAACTATTATTAACGTTTTAATACATTTCTTTCAGTTTGAGTTAACTCATTATAAATTACATGTAAGTTGGTTCTTTACAAACAACGAGCAATCTGTTTGCTTTATTTGCGCAGAAAATGGAAAAAGATGTAAAAGTCTTAAACACAAAATGCCATGGAAAGGTAATGCAATCAATAGCTGGCTGCTATGCATAACAAAAAACAAACAAACAGAAATCTCAAAGGGTTTGTGGTAACGTCAGGGGTGAACAACGCAGGGAGTTACTATTAGTATTTGAAGACTTTTTCCTTTCTTGAAAACACACAGTTTGGGTGTTGTGTGTGCTAGAGAGAGTCCAAACCTTTTATCCCTCAGCCAGTGGTAAAATTAATTGAAAAACTTTCCAGATCAAGATTCTTTTTCATGACTGGTTTCAGCATGTAGCCAAATTGAACAACACAAGAAAGCTGTGCTGAAAAGTTAAAATAGCAGTTATGTTTGTCTGTAGCTAGGAATAGGATTATTGTCAATGTTGTGATGCAGTGAAGAGGCAAAGGATTTTGTATTCAAGATATGAAAAGGCACAGAAGGAAGTCTTGAATTAGTTTTAATTGCTCTGATGTTTGCTAATTAATTGTATCTTAAAGACTGAGGAAACTACGCATGAAAACGGTGCAAATTAAATAGACCTCACTTTGCAGGAAAGTAAAACATAGGAATTTTATATAAATTACATTTTGATACCAAAGAGTGGCATTTGTAGGATTTTGCAAGTGGAAGCATTGTTGTTCTTGATGATTTTCACTACATTTTCACATTGACACTGCAGTACATATATAAATTGTATTTTTATTATCATGATGACATATTATTCTCCTAGTATATTGTGCTTCAATTTCTTTTTAAAAAGGTCTAGGATTTTAGACTGGGGAGGTGATGTTTCTTACATTCTGATTTTTGTGTCATATTAGGAGGATGACCTTTTTTATTTGGTATGTAATTGCTGTTGGTACCATAGATTAAGGGTTGTTACTTCTTTGTTTGAGCTTTTTGGAGTGAAAGTATATCAACAATATTATTTGTAGATGTTTATGGGTTATAGTAAATGTGCTTGCAAAAGGAAATTAGTTACATCCCATGCCTTTACAAATGTATAGTTTAGCAAACCAATGATAATAATTATATTATTTGAGTGTATTAGGTTTGAACTAAGCTACAGTGAAAAGCAAGGAAAAATAGCAAAACATGTAGTTAGTGATTTTGTGACTTGACGCTTTTACTATGCTGTAATTAATAAAATATGATCGAGGAAAGCGTAATGCTTCAAGCTTTCCTTTCAGGTGTTTTCAGGCATTATATTGATTGCATCTTAATTTCAAGGTAAATGTACCTTTGTTCATTGTAACAATATATTATCAATCATTATGGTGAAATTTAAATTTATATCAGGCATTGGTTAGCAAAGTTAGTTTATAAAATCTGGCATATCTATGAAGACTTAAGTTTATGATATCTTATCACAGCGTGTGTCCAAGTCTGGACGAATTGGATGTGGGCCAAACATTTTCATCTCTGGCCATCACATTCAGTGAATAAATAATGTATTGCACAGCCCTTATAGGAAACGGACCTGTCTACAACTTGTTTTCCTTGGTTATAATCTGACTTTAGCACACCTGTAGCCATATTCATAAAATTTTGAAAATAAATCAAAGTATTTTTAGAAAGCATTTTGCTGTGTTTATTGTGTTCAAATTAAGAGAAAAATATTTATGTGTTGGGTACAGTCCAGAACAAGACATTGACTCTCAACGTATTTCGGATCCAGTTAAACAGTTGTTAAAGGGGCAATGTCCACCAGTTCTGTCAAGAGAGGTACCTCTTTGCTCTAGAGAGGTTCTAACTTTGTGGCTGGGTCAACGTTTGAGTGTTGAGATCAAGTGGGAGGTGTTTTGTTATAGAAGGTGTACCAAAGTAAGGCCTTGATCTGTTAACTTTACTATTGAAATATAAAGACATTTTGCAAATTCAATTGACAACTCTTACACTTTATCCTGCTTTAATCTGTCTTTATTTTTTCTCTACAAAGCCCACCCATTGTAAACTCAACAGCAATTAAGCAACTCTTGGTAATAAATATATTGATGCATTGTTTTTGAACCAGAAATTTAATAAATGTTGTTTGTCTGTGCGCAACTCTTGCCAGTAGACCATGATGAAATCAAAGTCAGGGACATAATTTTTCTATCTTTTTTATCATGCTGAGAACCAATAAGAAAAGAGAATTTTATTGTGGTTACAGTATGAATGGTATCTGCTGTTTGCATTGATGGCTGCATAAACTTTAATTTGAAGTTGATCTTAATAAATTAAAACTACCGGTAGGTAGCCATTTACCTAATTATGAATTCTAAAGATGAAGATTTTAATACATACTAGTGAGCAACGTGCAGACCTAGAAAAGAAGTGACTAAAATGAAATCCTAATATTCTAATAAGTAGTATACCTAGTGACTGAATGTTTAATTTTCACATGTTCTGATTGGCATATTCTCCACTTTTTTTGATGATTTATAAATTGTGGCAAAATTATTTATATGTAAATAAACTTGTCATTGATAGTATTGAGGAACATCGTTTTTAACCTGGTTAATTGCAATAAAAAGATTGTTCTTGTTATGGAAATACAAGAACAACTCCAACTCCACATCAAGTAATAAACAGCAGACTACGGCTATGTATTAACCAGACAGTTTCATGGCAAAATGTAGTTCTGCTATCCATCTTCAGTTTGACGAACAGTTGTCAAATATTGGGACGGTATTTTACGCCTTTTACGCTACACAGGGTTTTTGGCATGGTTTGGATAAAAAATGCATCTCTGCCCTCTGTACCTGTTTTCAGGATACCTAAGAGTTTATTTAGATCCGGTCTGAGCAGAAGAGATGGATGTGTGAGAAGTTGTCATTTTATAGAATGTACAAAGTGTGACACATTTCGATTGCTTAAAAATCCTTACCATGAAACTGGGAATCTTTTTCAGTACTTATATCAGAAAAGAAGTAACATTTTTTTGCATAGAAACAAAAAGGATAGATTTGGTAGCTTTGAAACAAAAGTTTCTTTTTCTCCAAAATTCTTCTTGTGTTCCATGACAATAGAAATGTTAAAAAAGTTTATGTTATATTACACATAACCAAGTCATGGGAAACAGTTGCACATTCCATGGGATGCATCTTGGGACAGTTGTAATTGCCACTTAAGTCGTGGATTGAATTGATTTAAATTCTAGTTGTCAACTTCTTGTAAATTATCATATTATGAGATTGGACTCTGTCATACCCAGGCAGACATTATCCTCATTTATCAGCTTTGCAGTGGCAAAATAATGGCCCTAAAAAGAAGGGAAAAAAATCATTTTCCTCAGTGAGATACTGTGCGTTAAAAAAATAAAGGAAAATAAAGTTGACCAAATATGATCTATCTTACCTTTGGAATGTATTTTGGTAGTTTGAAGGACTCATAAACATGAAGTTTTTGACCTGAAATTGAATGCACAACAAAAGTCATTAAATTAACAAGGTGATTCAACTACGACTAACATTTCATTTAATGTTAAAAATATTGGACACAACATAATAATTGCCAATGTTACAAGCCATTCCTTCCTCAGGCATTTACCAACAATGGTCGTTTTCCCATGCGTCCTGTAAATTTCTGCTTAGCAAATGTTCCCCTCTGTTCTGGAGAGGTTTTGGTTGATCTACAGATTGATGATTATTATGTTTGGTAACTGAAAGAACAGTTGTCTCTCCTCCCCCCCCCCCCC